TTCTGCCTCCCTGTTTTTGTTTTGAAGGGGGTTTGTGTGAATGTCTAGAAAGCAAAAGATTGCATTTAGATCAAATAAGGAGAGCTGTAGAAATTATTCCGCTGCTTTATTGTGTTTGCTCTTTGGTAATCCTTTTGGTTTGTCCAAATTCCTGAATCGGTCCTTCTTTAACGGTAGACAAAAATGTATTGCCTTTGGTATTTTCTGCTGTGCTTTTGTATTGAAATTGCAGAGGAAAGGGGCTCAGAAAGAGGGAGAGAGATTGCCTAAGATCAGGGATAGCAAAGGTGTGGCAGAGACCTATAGGATCCTACCTTAACGGCTTATGTACCTGTGATTTGATATTAACTTCATCAGCACAGCTGGAGAAGTGGATTGAAATGCAGGTTAAAATAAATCAGCCTTTTAAAATATTCCAATTATTCCAATTATTCTATATATTCATTTTGTTACAATTACATTACTTAATTACATATTCACATTCACAATTTAGTTTTCCATATTTCATTCCCCTCTTCTTCATCCTTCTTCTTTCTTCTGCCTTTCATATTTCCCTCTAATGAAAAATTATCTGCCTTTTCCTTCTTATACCCTACTTTCCCTTTCTCCTCTCTTTTTCTCTTACCTCTTCCCTTCTTTCCCTTACTTGTCTTCTTATCCCTCATTCCAATTATTCTATCACTTCTTTTCCCTTAATTTTTTAATCTAAACTCCTTATCGCATTCCTCTACTTTTTATACAGTTTCTTATGCCTTCCTATTTTTTTCTATTTTCCCAACATCTTCACCTTCCTTCTTATCATCTTCTTAAAAAATAAATCCGTTTTAAAGGTGTTGCTACAAATCCTGGAATTTCCTAGCATTCAGCCAGGGCAGTTAAAGCAGTGTCAAACTGGATTATTTCTGCAGTGTGTTTTGGCACTTTGTCTCCTTTTATTCTTCTACAGCCGGGGGTCCATATCCATGGATTTTTTATTCATGGATTGAAGTGCCCATGGCTTGAAAATGTTTTAAAAATAAATAAATTCCAATAAGCAAATCTGTTTTACTATGCCATTGTATTTAATGGGACTTGAACATCCATGGATTTTGTATCCATGTAGGGTCCAGGAAACAAACCCCAACTAATACCAAGGACCCACTGTATGTACTTTCCAGGTTTTCTTTGTTCTCTATGGGATTTTCTGGCCCAGTACTTCTTACCCTGGCTAGCATCAGGTCCTTGGGAAGAAAAGGGTCTTCCACAGTATGGGCAACCTGAATGGAGATGCCATCAGGGACTTTCCACATGCAAAGTATGTGCATCTCTTGAGCTCTTGCCTGTGATCAGGATTTGAACCATGGACTCACAGTGCTTCCTAGTCCTCCAAATTCAGTGACTGTATAGGGGAAGAGGAGCTAAATCAGCAGGTGACTTTCGCTCCCTCTACCCCACCTTGCTATTATTTCTACACATTAAAGTACCGGTAGTTCATTTAGTTCATTCCCTCCTCTTCATTTCAAGATCAGACATTGTATACGCTCCGTATCCTGCTTCTCCTGTGTGTGCAGTTAGAAGGCGAAAGATAATGCGTAATGAGCAGAATTATTATTATGTGCCTTCAAATGTAACAACAAAATTATTGACAGTATACAAACCGAATGCCAAATTTTGCTATCAGTCAGAGAATCCAGCCATAGGTAGCCCGGTGAGGTTTCAACGGTGATCCTATCCTAAGGTTTTCTTGGCAAGGTTTGTCCAGAGGGGTTTGCTCGGAGGCTCAGAGAATGTGACTTATCCAAGGTCACCTAGTAGATTTCCATGGCTGAGCCAGGGATTTGAACCCTGGTCTCCCAGAGTCCTCATCCAACACTGAAACCACAACACAATGCTGGCTGTCATGGATAGAATTACATACGTCTAATTCGTCATTTTCTCTTTTTGATGGAACTGGCCTGGGGCCTTTAAATTGCTTCGTCTGCTGGAATTATATCTTGCTATATCTCTTCTATGCAAACAGTGTGCTCTCTCATTGTTTCCACTGGCTTCTGATCCTTAAGTATTTTATTTTGTATTTGTATATATGCACTAGAGGTAGGAACCTGTTTTTTTAAAGTAATTTTTTCCTACTTTGCAAAAGGTTAGTCCTTATGGTTAACTTGTTACAATGTTTTTAAACTGATTACTTCCTATTACTTATTTAGGAATGTAATTGTTGCCATTTCTCACTACATTTTTAAAATCACCTTGTTCCATTACTTGCTTGTTACTTTTCATTCCCTTTTTTTGGGGGGGGGGAATCTCTGGATTGATAAGAAAGTAATATAAAATTTGAAAGATTATAGTGAGGATTCTGCTAAAAACACCTTTTAAGATTAATTTTTAAAAGTAACTAGAGAGTATTACTCATTGTACTTTATTCCCAGGATTTGAATTATTTTTGAAATGTAACATCATTCTACCTTCATTACCAAAATAAATACCTCATTGCAGGAATCTACTTACTCCTCAAGTTCTAGTGTTTCATGCATGCAAGTCCCTGCATTTTAACAGTGATGTAGAAGAGCTTGGGATTTACTGAATAAAGTCATGCATGCAAGCTCCTGCAATTTAACAATGGTAAAGAAGAACGAAGGATTTGCAGATTTAATAAGTGGAGCATGTAAAATTTTAGGACACAATTAGTTCTGAATTCTAATACCCCTCTTTTTCTTATTTCTTGGCAGACCATCCATGAGCTCAGATTTCCAGCATTACAGTTTCAGGATGCCAAACATTGGATTCCAGAACCTGCCTCTCAACATATACATTGTGGTCTTTGGCACTGCCATCTTTGTCTTCATTCTTAGTTTACTCTTCTGCTGCTACTTGATCAGGTAAGTCAACCACTCCCCTTCATAACTAACTTGCTGGAGCAGGTCTGCTTCACCTTATCCTCTCTGTGAGGAGATGGAAGTTTGCAGACGTTCCTTTGCACTGGATATTCAGCATGCATTCTGGACTTGAGAGTGAGTTAAAACAAAGGTAGAGTCGCCACAAGTCAAAAACGACTTGGAGGCACACAACAACAATGCAGTTTCCATGAATCTGGGGCCAGTTTTCTACTCTCATGATCCACTGTGAGCTATACCAGAACCAGAAATGAAGTGCGAGCACACACACACATATGCATATAATAATAATAATAATAATAATAATAATAATAATAATAATAATAATAATAATAATTTATTTATATCCCGCCTTTAGCCGAGGCTATCAGGGCGGCTTACAATCTAAAAGCACAATCCCATACAATACAAAGAACATTCACACACACCCCTAAAAATATGCACACTGTCACTGTCATTTCCATTTCCAAACATTTTGGTGGTGAGGTTGAGAGTAGCACAAAACTGCCATTTCTATAGGAGTCCAGAAACTGAAAAATGAGCTCTTTCTGGCCAGGTTTTTCCTGCAGGGGCAGGGCTTCAAAGAATCATAGAATTGGAAGAGACGACAAGGGCCATCCAATCCAACCCCCTGCCATTCCAAAGTAGACAATTAAAGCATTCCCAGCAATTGGCCATCCAGCCTCTATTTGAAAACCTCCAAAGAAGGAAACTCCATCACATTTTGAGGCAGTGTTTTCCACTATACTTGACCTACAACCAATTCATGACCCATTGCTTGTCTGTGAACTTCTCACAATAACACAACTGGCTGTTTGTGGAAGAGGCCACGTTTGAGCCTGCAGAGATGGTTCTCATGAGCAAGATCAGGTGGGAGTCAGGAAACATTTTGTGGACAAGAAGTTTGTCTTGAAAGTGTGTACAGATACACATTAAAAACACCCATTCAGGGAAGTGGATTTGCTATCACATATATAGTCCTCTGCCAGCGATCAGATCTGATCATCTCAAGGACTGCTAGTCCAAAATGGCTATGTGAAGTGCTACATGGCTGAGGTTTGGTCTGCACTGCAGAAATAATGCTGCTTTAACTGTCATGGCTCCATCATATCGAATCCTGGGGTGTGCAACCTGGTTGCCTGTGACCTCACCAAAAATGCTTCCCCCCAACTTTTCTTTAAAAACACTTTTACATATTAGAAAAATATCTGAGCACCATTTAGAAATGCACAGGTGACTTTCACAGATGGAAAGCAGGTTCCCCCAGCAAATGCAAAAATAAACAGTCATGCAGGAAAAACCAAACAGTCTTTTGGAACCTGGAAAAGCAACCAATTTTATTTGTCATAGTTTTTTTTTATGAGGTCCACCTCACTTTATCTAATGCACAGTAGGGTGCAAGTCCATGAAAATCATATGCCCAATAAAACCTTCTTCCTCTTTCAAGTGTCACAAAATTCATCCTTGTTTCGGGTGCAACAAACTCATGTGGCTGTTTTTCCCTACTTTGCTTGAGATTCTAATAATTGCATGGGCTCCTATTTTTTATCTACATCTGTACACATCCCAAAAGTTTCTGCAGTACCATCAGGTGGCTTTCTTAGAGATGGCCTGTTCCGAAAATTGCAGACCAAGAAGTAGGTTGTTAGGTTTCTTCTGGAGCAAAGGGGAGGTGATTTATTATCTGACACTTTGATTGGAAAAGCTTTGCCCAGAGGTTTTCACCTGTAGGATTGAAGGGACCATAACTCAGTGCTTTGCCTGTGAAAAATTCCAGGTTCAGTCCCTGGGGTGTCCAAATAAGATTTCTAAGCAGCCAGTGATAGGAAAGAATCTCTACAAAGAGCCTTGGAAAGCTGCTTTTTGGTTGGGATAGAGCAGGGTTTTTTGACCTGAAACCCTATGGTTCCACAAGAGATTGTGATTGGGGGGCAATATTAAATCTGTAGATATAATTACATTCCCTGGGGTTAGGGCTGAAAGTAGAAAATCCAAAAAGTAAAAAACAGTATTTTTTTTTTTGAAAAAAAAATTGCCTGAGAGAACATTCTCTAGGAATCTCTAGGTCCTCCAGCCTTCCTCTCAGGCTGAGAGAGTGTGACTTGCCCAGGGTCACCCAGTGAGTTTCATGGCCAAGCAGAGAATCGAACCCTGGTCCCTAGAGTTGTAGCCCAGCACTCAAACCACAACGCCATGCTGGCTCTATTCCTCTCAAAATGGTGGTCGCAAGTGACATTACAAGTGACATTGCATGGTCCCCATTTTGCAAGGGACTATGATGAAAGACAACATGTTGGATGGGTTCAGGGGGAGTTGAATGTTTCTGTGTATTATTTGGGAGACTTTTTGTGTGGCCTGAGGGCAAATATACTGATTTTTTTATAAAGAATTTAGAAGAGTTTGGGGACCTTTCAGAGGCCACAAAAGTGGCATCCAAGGACTTCACACAGCCTCCAGGCCACATTTTTCCCAATCCTGGTATTTCAGCCAGTTTCAAATGTTTAACTAAGCCTGTACTTGCCCTCCCTGAGCAGATATCATAGTTATGCAGCAAGTATGCATGGTATGGAGGAAGCAGATAGGGAGAAACTTTCCTCCCTCTCCCATAATAATAATAATAATAATAATAATAATAATAATAATAATAATAATGATGATGTTGTTCTTACTACTATATTTATTTATATCTCACCTTTTCCCCAGGACTCATGGCAATTAATTACACCAGCTGACAGAAACATAGCTAAAAATTTCAAAGCACACGAAGGTTAAAAATGTAATTAATTGATCACAAACCTGCTAAAAACCATGACCCGTTAAAAAGAATGCTAATGATGGGAACCAGAGGGGCTGCTTAGTGAAGCTGAATGGCGGGGGATTCAGGGTCAGGAAAAAAGGAAGGACTTCTTCCTACTGTGCATAGTTCACCTGTGGAACTCACTTCCACAAGATTCAGTGATGTCAGCCAATTTGGATGTCTTTCAAAAGGGAGTTAGGTCAATTGACATAGGTTGGCACCACCAGTGGCTACTAATCACAGTGCATATTCCTTATGTATCCCTTAATTATTAATTATTCCTTAATTATCCCTTAAATATCCAAGGCAGGAGAGCCAGCATGGCATACTGATTTGAGCATAGAACTTGGACTCTTAGAGATTTGGGTTCGATTCCCCGCTCACCCATAGGAACCCACTGAATGAATTTGGATGAGTCACACTCTCTCAGCCTCAAGGGAAGGCAATGGCAAACCTCTTGACACAAAACCTCTTGACACAAAAAAGAACAAATCTTGACACAAAAGCCCCATGATAGGATTGCTTTAGGGTCACCATAAGTCACAAATGACTTGAAGAGAAACAACAAAAATCCAAGGCAGTCTTTCATCTTGTCATGGAGAACAAAATGTAGGATGCAGTTGTGCTCAAATCTCACTTGTGGGCCTTCTAAAGGCATCTGAAGAGGTTCTGTAGGAACAGAGAGTTGGGTTAGAGGTTGGCATTTGGCCCAACGGACATCCCAATTAAAGCCACTCTGCACTGAGCATGCACATTTTAATTGAAGCATGTTTTACCCAACTGTTGTTGTGTTTTTGTTATGGTTGTTATGTGTCTTCAAGTTGTTTCAGTCTTCTTCAGTTTTCTTGGCAAAATTTGTTCGGAGGAGGTTTGCCATTGCCTTGCCCTGAGGCTGAGAGCATGTGACTTGCCCAATGTTGGATTCCCAACCAGAGAATCGAACCCTGGTCTCCGGAGTCATAGTCCAACACTCAAACTACTACACCATGCTGGCTCTCTTTAGCCAGCTAGCATACCCATAACTCAAGTCTGCCAGTCTTCTTGTGATCAGGGTCACTATTGAACCATTGACACAACCACAATGTCTGTGGGATTTCATTATACAGTGGGACCTTGGTATCCGCTGGGATTTGATTCCAGGACCCCCTGTGGATACCAAAATCTGTGGATGCTCAATGACATGGTAAAATGGTATCCCTTATATAAAATGGCAAAATCAAGGTTTGCTTTTGAGAATTTATATTTTTAAAATTATTTTAAAGCCATGGATGGTTGAATCTGTGCATTAAAAAAAAATCTGTGGATATAGAAGGCTGACTGTAAAACAGTTGTGTTTATGGTGTTGTGTCCCACAGTGTTGTTGTTGCTGTTGTTTTAAGTAATGCTACAGCATAAAGCGACACAGGAAGAACCTTTTTTCTTTTCTTTTTTATTATCTTAAAACATCCCTTCTCTCCAACAGAAACCCCTTTTCATCCATTCCTTGTTGGTACTTGAGATTCCATCCGGTTTAATGTATTTAATGTTGACTTTCTTGTCTTGTGCAAACAGAGAAATATGCTGGACTATGTTTGCTTCCTCCCCTTGCCATTTTGATATCTGGTTTCTGTTCTCTCTTAATTGGTTCTAATTTCCACCATCATCCCTTTTTCATAGCAGAAGGATTATTTTGGTCACTTACTGGATGCTGATTTAATTAAAAATCACATCTACGTAGAGCAAGTGCAGCGAATGCTTTCATGTTGTTTAGTACTTAAAGACCGAACAAATGTAAAACCTGTTAAAATAATTTTGAATAGTGATAATGAGATAATGTGCAGCCTGGATGAAATCAGGTCCAAAGGCTTTAATAAAAAGCCTGGTTTTGACTTGATGCCAAAATGATCCTAAGGTTGGCACCAGTCGGACCTCCAGAGGGAGAGAATTCCTTAACTGAGTTGCCAACACCGAGAAGACCCTTTCCCACATCTTCCCACAATGTATTTCCCATGTTGTTGTTGTTGTTGTGTGCCTTCAAGTCATTTCTGACTTATGGTGACCCTAAGGTGAAACTGTCACAGGGTTTTCTTGGCAAATTTCTTCAGAGGGGATTTGACATTGCCATCCTCTGAGGCTGAGATAGTGTGATTTGCCCAAGGTCACGTAGTGGGTTGACATGGCCAAACTGGGATTCGAACCTTGGGCTCCAGAGTCCTTGTCCAACTGTCTGTCCAATTTCTGACTTAATGGCAACCCTATTACAGGGATTACTTGGGCAGGTTTTGATCAGAGCGGGTTTGCCATTGCATTCCTCTTTAGGCTGAGAGAATATGACTTGCCCAAGATAACCCAGCAGGTTTCCTTGGATGAGTGGAGATTTGAACCCTGGTCTCCCAATGTCCTAGTCCAGCACTCAGACAGACCACTATGTCATGCTTGGCTCTCTTAGGGTTTTCTTAGCAAGATTTAATTAGAAGGAGTTGGTCATTATCTTCCTCTGAGGTTGAGAGAATGTGACTTGCCCAAGATGACCCAGCGGTCTTCCTTGGCTGAGTAGAGTTTTCGAACCCTGGTTTTCCGGAGTCCTAGTCCAACACTTGAACCACTATCCCATGCTGACTCTTGGAGTTTTATTGGCAAGATTTAATCGGAGGAAGTTTACTCTTGCCTGCCAATAGCACCAGCTCACTAAATTACAAATACAAGGGTTTGGGATTTGCCTGGTGAAAAGGCAAGTGAGCTACATTTTAGATTTTGTAGGAATCTTGCTGAGCATTTCTTTAATTTCATGCTCCAAGGTCGTCCTAACTGCAAAACGGGACAAGGCACCACAAAATTTATGACATTCAAGAAACATGAAGGACATTCCAAAATAAAAGCTAAAAACACTAATATAAATGTAAATTCATGCTTCTTAGTCATGCTCAAAATGGAGGACAATTTGGAAATTCCTTCTGGACAGAAGGTTGAAATGTAGGACATGCCCTGGGAAAAGGAGGATGTCTGGTCACCCTGGGTTGGCCCAATAAAGGTAGCGCTGCTTTGCTGATTTTGGGATGTTATTGTACTTTGTATATCTTTATACAACTTCTTAGTTGTCTTAGGCTTCTTAGTCATGCTCAAAAATTGGAGGACATTTTAGAATTCCTCCTGGACAGAAGGTTGAAATGGAGGACATGTCCTGGAAAAGTAGGGCATCTGGTCACCCTGTCCAATACGTCTCTCCCACTTTTTCTCTCTGGTAAATATTTTACATACCGGTATTTTGTGTTTAAGAAAATAGTTTGCATCTGTCTTGTCCAGTTCCCTGCCTCTTCTCATAGGCAAACTGAACACACTAGAAATCCTTCTCATGTGCACACTGAGCATGCTAGAAATTGGAAATCCTTGTCATATGCACACTGAGCACGCTAGAAAGCCTTTTCATATGCAAACTGAACACGCTAGAAATCCTTCTCATATGCAAACTGAACACACTAGAAATCCTTTTCATGTGCAAACTGAACACACTAGAAATCCTTCTCATGTGCAGGCTGAACACACTAGAAATCCATTCTTATGTGCAAACTGAACACGCTAGAAATCCATTCTTATGTGCAAACTGAACACACTAGAAATCCATTCTTATGTGCAAACTGAACACACTAGAAATCCATTCTTATGTGCAAACTGAACACACTAGAAATTCTTCTCATATGCAAACTGAACATACTAGAAATTCTTTTCATGTGCAAACTGAACACACTAGAAATCCTTCTCATATGCAAACTGAACACGCTAGAAATCATTCTCATGTGCAAACTGAACACGCTAGAAAGCTAATGAAAGAGACTTGACCTGTTAATGGGAACAAACTGGGGAAAGGCAGCAGTTTCTTTGCAAAACTTTTGCTTCTTCCAAAGTCTGAATAGCTAATCGTGGAGGTAAAACCGAGTTTAGATATGGATTTTTTGAGGAGATCTGTTGTTGTTGTAGATCGATTGGAGACACTCTGCACATGACACCAAAGCAGCCTAGGGCAGGGGAATCCCATGATGCTTGTTTAGCAAGTAATGTTCTAGCTTCTGTTGAGTCGGGAACAAAGGTTTTCATTGTTTTCATCCAGATTATTATCCCCTCTTGTGAAGCCCTGCTGGGTTCCAGACAACAATTTTCCAAAATAATTATCCACTCAGTAGTGACTGCGCATGTTTTGCCCTCTGAGGAAAATAAAAGTTATGGCCTTGATTTATACTAATGGTTCCCAGACTTTGGTCCTCCAGGTGTTTGGGAGTTCAGCTCCCAGACTCCCCAGCCGTTTTGGCTTAAGTTCAGGGATTCTGGGAGCTGAAGTCCCAAACACCTAAAGGACCAAAGTTTGGAAAGGGTTGATTTATACATATGATTGTGAAAGCTGGACAGTGAAGAAAGCTGATGGGAAGAGAATCAGCCCATTTCTGGAGATTTTCCTGGCAACCAAAAATATAAATGAATGGGTCCTAGAGCAAATCAATCCTGAACTCTCCCTAGAAGCCAAGATGCCTAAACTGAAGCTGTCATACTTTGGACGGACATCTTATGAGCAGATATAACTTATTAGAAAAGACAATTAGGAAGAAAAGAAAAGGCAGGATGTAAATAAAGAGACTGGTAGAGTACTTCTGCCAACAGAATCAGGATTTGCTTCCTTTCCCTCTCTGTATTTCAGATCTCTTTGGCACCGGGAATCTATTCTACTCTGGCAAACCCTCCAGAGTGGTTCATTTGGCATCACAGAGGGCTGCAGAAAAGGGGTGTTGGATAAGGAGCAGAAAGATGCATCTACACTGTAGAAATAATGCAGTTTGACACCATTTTAACGGCCTTGACTCCATCCTACAGGATCCTGAGATGTGTAGTTTTGTGAGGCACTAGACCTCTTTGGCAAGGGAGGCTAAAGACCATGTAAAACTACAAATGTCAGGGTACCATAGAATGGAGCTACAGCTCTTAAAGTGGTGTCAAACTGCATTATTTCTACAGCGCAGATGCATCCAAAGAAAGTCCCAGTTCCACTAACGCAGGGGTAGGCAACCTTTCCCCTTTAAGGGCCGAAGGACTTCAGCTCCCAGAATCCCAGGAGCTATTGGCCAACATGGGACTATTGGCCAACATGGCTGAGGCTTCTGGGAGCTGAAGTCCCTCGGCCCTTAAAGGGGAAAGGTTGCCTAGCCCTGCACTAACGGGTTATTAAGAAGTTTTTATTTTATTTTATACACACACACACTAATAATAAAAACAACAGAACAAATACTAGTAACAAAAACAACATAAGGCCACACATTCTTCCCTACCTCTAACCAATACCTGATACAAGACAAAATCAAACAAGTAAATATTGACAACAAAATTTGTATCGACTTCCTTCCTAATAGTTCTTATGTTAACTGAATATAGTTGAACCATCTTTGTCTGAATCTTTACCTGCAATTCTATCATTGTCCCCGTAACCAAGCTATAGTATAAGTTTGATACAACGCAGTAGCCTTAGATATTTGTATTTATCTACTTGCCCTAACCCTAACCCTAACCCTAACCCTTTACAACTTTTATCTGAAAGAGATTCTTTCTATAAATTCTTTTCATATAATTATGGCATTATTCAGGTGTTGTTGTTTTTAGCATAACTATGCAAATAATCTCCCTCATGCATTCCGGTTTTGTTGCTCACTCAGATTTGTATTGGAACTACATCTGTGCACATCTGTGTGAGTTCTGTTGCTTACATGTGTCAGCGCTCAAATAAAGATGGAGTCGATGATGCAGATATATTCAAAAGCACCTTCAAGGCATGCAGAGTCTTATCGCAGGTCTATTTGCATCGATTATTCACATAACTGACAATGCAGTTATTTTAGGAAGACTTGGAAAAAAACCCAAGATTAGTTATCCTTGGTTAAGTGGGTTTTGGGGGGCACCTCTTCCCCAAAACTTAGTTAGGTGCATTTGAAATCCATGCAAATAACAAAGATTCAATCCAGATTCTACCAGGATTAT